ATATATTTATAGGTATAGCGTTGCGTATGCGAAATGTTCCACGGCCCTATTTATTAAACACGGCCCTATTATTTAAACAATTTATTCTGGTGGACTTATATACATATAGATGTATAGCCTAGATTATGCGTAGACTCTAGCGTATATATATTTCTAGGTTTACCGGAGCGTGTGCGAAATGTCCCACGGCCACTATTTATCGGATATAACATTTCTGGATTTGACGAAGTTATCCTTCAAATCGGTTTATGTTTTATTGAAAACGGATTTAAAAAATTTATTCTGGTGGACTTATCTATACTATGTAAAGAGAAGTCCCTTTCTTTGTAACAGGTAATCTCGCGAACGGCTGGTCCGATTTTCGTGAAATTTTGTATATACAAATCTTCCAGCAAACGCCATGTTTTAGGCCATAAAAAAAATATTTTTTCCGGTAGGTGGTTTAGGGACCAATCTATTCCATAAAATCGTATTTATGGTCCGATTTGCTTAAAATTTGGTATGTAGGTAGCTTTATGGCTAGATTAGCATATAGGATCCTTTTTTCCGCGAAGTGGACCAGGGACCGATCTACTAAAAAAGACGTAGCTATGGTCCGATTTGATTAAGATTTTGTACGTGGGTAGCTTTTTGCCTAGATTACCATATAGGATTCATTTTTTCCGAGAAGTGGACCAGAGACCGGTCTATTCGAAAAAATCGTATTTATGGTCCGATTTGCTTAAAATTCGGTACGTAGGTAGCTTTTTGCCTGGAATACCATTTAAGAGCCTGTTTTCCGAGAAGTGGACTAGGGCCCGATCTATTCGGAAAAATCGTATTTATGGTCCGATTTGCTTAAAATATGGTATGTAGGTAGCTTTATGGCTAGATTAGCATATAGGATCCTTTTTTCCTCGAAGTGGACCGATCTACTAAAAAAGTCGTAGCTATGGTCCGAATTGATTAAAATTTTGTACGTGGATAGCTTTTTGCCTAGATTAGCATAGGGGATCCTTTTTTTCCGGGAGTGGACCAGGAACCGATCTATTCGAAAAAATCGTATTTAAGGTCAAATTTGCTTAAAATTCGGTATGTAGGTAGCTTTTAACCTAGATTAACATATTTTCCGCGAAGTGGACCAGGGACCGATCTACTAAAAAAATCGTAACTATGGTCCGATTTGATTAATATTTTGTACGTAGGTAGCTTTTTGCCTGGATACGCTTATAGGATCCCGTTTTCCAATTTTCATACAATTTCGAATATATGTAAATAGCTTTGAGCAACCACCATATCAAGGGGTCGCTAGGCAAGTTTTTTTGCTACAATCAGAAACAACGGATACAGCAAAAATATAATAATATCTAATATATAATATATCTGTACTAATATATATTTCGAAAGCCGTTTTTTAGTGTTCGCGGAATTGAGAACGGCTGAACCTATTTTTTGGAAACTTCAGTTTCCTGCCGCGCATGTCCCAAGGATG